TACAAGGCTCAACGACCACAGACCCAAAGGCGATACAGCCAATGGAGGTAGCAACAGCAACGCAGTGTCATTATTTACCTGACTTAATGCAGCATATTTTGAGCAACCAAAATGGGGCGTACGCAAGCTAGCCACACGGGCATCGCCCATCCCATTTGGTGTTTCAGCCAAGGCATTTGACGGAATACTCGGCACTGAGGTAAACCGGCAGACACGAGGGTAGGCATAGGGAATACGGGGGATTGCACCTCAACCAAAGGATTAAAGCACACTGAGCGGCGCCCAGTACTGCTAAGCTCAAAAGGATGCACAGCGCATCGTCAAATGAAATTGCAGGCAACCAAGGCGAAGACCTCTCCACAAGCGATGCGGTGGACGAGGCTTCACTTGTTTTACCATGCTGACTCGAGTAGTTTGAATAGGGAGTTTGCCTATGCCCTTCCTGCTTGGCAATCTCAGCCGCACATAGAAGAGGTATAAGACAGTTGCGCTTGGCGCAGTGTATCGAGAACCAAGAGATCAAGCGGGGCTCGATACTACAAGGCTCAACGACCACAGACCACCAGGTGACAATTCTACATCAATTGGAGGTAGCAACACCGACGCAAAGTCTATATTTACCTTACTGAATGCAACATATTTGGAGCAGCCAATTGGGGTGTACGCAAGCTAGCCACAGGCATAGCACACCCCACTTGGTGTTGCAGCCAAGGCGTTTGAGCTGGGACGGAACACTCAGGCACAGCGGGGCTGGCACTGAGGCGAACCGCGCAGACACGAGGGTAGGCATAGGGAATACGGGGGAGTGCACCACAACCAAAAGAGCAGAGAGACCGAGCGGCGCACAGTACTGCTAAGCTCAAATGGATGCACACTGCAGTGTGGAATCGGCAAATGAAAAATGCGGGCAATCTAAGAAATGGGCTGGCGAGTGCTATGCAGAGCGCTGCCCATGAGACCAAGCGGGGCCCGATACTACATGGGCAGCAGCTCACAATGCAGGGCAAGACAGGCCTGGATACTCGGCCCTTTACCGTCTCTTGCGCCCTCCACCGATCGGAGCCCGGAGGGAACGCACAACGTTGGTGACGGCATTAAAGGTCGGGAGAGTGGGGTCACGCAAAAGGGCCGCTGTCTGGGTGCGTCCGTTCGCACTACGTCTAATGAGCTCCTGCAGTGTGGTACCAGCGGGCGCCATATGGAAACTGTCAACAGAAGGTAGAATGACATCAGCAGCTTCCCTGTCCAGCACCGGAGGAGTGGCAAGCAGCAGACATCCAGCGCTGGGATGACACGCTGGACTCCCTTGCGAAGTCGGCAAAGGCCTGCCCTTCGGCCGGAAGGGGAAGCCAAAGATCCGTGCGCACGGACCCAGCCGCCATCGGCCCAATCAGGCCACAGTACTCCTGGAAATCATGTGTCAGACCTTGCTGGTTTTGGAGCTGGAGTCGAAACGGTTCTACCTCAGTGAAGCATGGAGGCTCATACGGAGACCGAAGGCCACCAGCGTTGACGAAACGCATCCCACGCACAGTTTGCACAGCGCCTTTTAACGAAACCTCGCCGCCTTGCCCAGAGGGCGGCGCGTTTGCGCAAAGGTAGGCCATGGCAGCAACCGGGATACGCACCTTGAGGCGGTGCAGGGGCCAGTCACCAGGACCGGCCCTGCCATACCATTGAACGACCTGTTCACCAGTGGCCAGGGATTCCGTGCCAGCCTTGAGCTTGACAGCATTTGCCGATAGTCGCAGAAGCTGGGCATGCTGCCGAGTGGCGATGGTGAGCGCGGCCACCCAGAACTGCGGCTGAGCCAAGCGGTCAAGCATCAGCTGCTGCAAACGAGGCGGAGCGTCACCACTGGCCAAAGGCTCGAATACGCGGGCAAAGCACGTGGCAAGGCTTGTCAGCCATGATCGCAGGAAGCGGAGCTTTTCATCCGCGCCGAGCGGGGGCGTGGGCGCCACGTCCTGTTCCGGGTTGGCCAGCAAGTGGATTTTGGAGCCCGCGTCGTTGTCCCAAAAAGTCACGAACGCGCCCATGAGTTTCGTGAAGGCGCGCACCACGGTGACGTTGTGCTCCGCGACTCCGTTCGGGACGCTGGACTGCTGCGTGTGCACCGTGAAATAGCTGAACACGAGCGACCTTCCTGAGAGGAGCACGCGGTTGAAGGACTCAACCAGCGCAGAGTCCAGGACGATCTGGGAGGCCAGAACTCGGACGTTCTGGATCTCAAAGTCGGTGCTCAGCGTGGCGCCCGACGGGTGCGCGCCGGCGTTCTCGGACCACAGCGCAGTCGTCGCTTCTGCGAACTCGATTTCTATCACCAGGTTCAGCTGCGGCGGCAGCGTCTTGCCGCAGCGCAGGATGCCCACCATGGTGGGGCGCAGCAGCACGTCCGCGTAGCCGCCCTGGTGCACCGCGCGGGCGATGCGGGGACTTCGTCGAAACCCTCCATGGCCTTGTTGCGGTTGTACTCTCGGCCCTTCAGCAGGTCGTGCACGGCCACGGTGCGGCCGTAGTAGTTGATGTCGTCGCAGCGCTGGCCGTTGGCAAAGACCTGGACGCGCTGGACGAAGCAGGCGGGGTTGGGCGTGGCTGGGGCCAGCGGGTTGGCGCCGTCCGTGTTCCTGACGCGGAAGGCGATCTTGATCGACTCGGGGTCGATGAAGGACGTGCCGCTGGTCAGCGGGATGCGGCAGACCCAAGAGGTTGTGGGGGAGACCGAGCTCAGCGAGCTGGGGAAGTACTGCACCGTGACGTAGCTGGTGTTGCTCGTCTTCAGCTTGTAGTCCAGGCTCTGCATCAGCTCATCCTGGGCTCCGGCGGTGACTACCTCCATGCTTGTTTATACACACGCATTTTGAGTCGTACGGCGAAGGAAAACTATTCCTCTAGAGCCTACATTTAGGTAGGCCCCAGAGTAATAGCATTTTGCAGCCCAAAACCGTGCAAAAGCTATTAGCCCAGGGCGTACATCTATGTACGGCCTGGGCTAATAGCATTTTGTGGTGCAAAACCGTGCAAAACGAGCTATTAGCCCGGTCCGTATGTGTATATACGGACGAGGCTAATAGCATTTTTTCAACGCAAAACCGTGCAAAATAAACTCTCCCCGAGGAGGAGGGTTTGTATTTTTTTTACGCAGCCTCAATGTCTCGTGCCAGCTGGTCAAAGCTCGGCGGAGGCAGGCTCCGGCGTGACTGCCCGGAACTGGAGCTCGCCCGCGAGCTCGGCTGAGACTAGGGCAGGGTCACTGGGTTCAGGCCCCAAGAGAAGGGGCGCGGCGTGTTGTTGGACTGCGCCTGGCGGACGTGCTGCTGCCGGTGCGCAGCGTGAAGTGCTGGGGCTGAGTGGCGTCGTTCATGTTGTTGGCGGACCGGACGTCCTGCGCGGCCGCGTCCTGTCTGTCCTGCATTCCTGTGATATGTTGTCTGAGGACTGTTGGATCATCCTCATTGAGCAGGGCTGGAGGCGGTGCTCGAACACCGGCTGCTTGCTGATGTCGAGCAATTGTTCTTGCATTTGCGTCCTGTACGGATTGTCGAAATGATGGGCGGCACAGTCGTAAAAACTGGCATCAAGTCCATCCATGCTGCCTTCAATCTCATAAGAAAGATTTCGAATTTTGAGGTAAAAATGAGGAACTCTTGGTTCTGCCTTCGATGATTGAAGAAACTGAGGAGCCTGTACAGATACACGTTGGTCGCACCTTTCAAAAAGTACTTCTTCAGCGTGTTCTTGAAGTAGTTGACTCCTTTGTCAGGATCTTGCAAAAGGTCATTTTGGAGGACTGCCTTCTACATATATGCATCTCCAGTGAGTCTGCTTTTGAGTAATGGTCCTCTCTTGGGTGCTTCCACCGTAGCGATTGTCACCCAGTCGTCCATGAGTTCTTCATACCTGAGCCAGCTGACTTTTCCGTTGTACGATGGCGGCTGTTTGGCGGTCATCGCTAAATTGAGAGTTTCCTCCGTATAGCCTGGTGATTTGGCCATACTCGAATAGGCTTCCATGAAGCCTTCTCCATCGGATGACATCTTCCCTTGGATCTCTGCGGAAAACCCGCTCCGCTACCACAAATTGAGGCCCACTGCCCCAGGTGCCTATCCCAGAAGGGAACTGGTACCCTGTGGTAGTAGAGGTCGTTGTTTAGGTCCCTGGATCTATTCCGGAGAGAATCCAATATGCCACTATGGATGATTGGAGGATGGATTGTCCCTGGTGGATTATATTGTGGATAATCCTGTAAGCGGCCTGCAAAGGTTCCTTTGTCACGCAATCATGAGTATTGCTATGATACAGAAAGGGCCTTGAGCCAAAATGGTTGCAGGAGATCAATTGTGTAACAAACCAAACACAGGGGGGGGGGGGGACAAGGAAGACTCGGGGAATCTGAAGGAAAACCAGCAAAAAAGACATGGAGAAAACCGGGAAGAACCCCACAAAAAACCATGGAAACTAATCACAAAAACAAAAACTGGGATTACCGGGAAGAACAAAAAAAACCGATGGAAACTAATCACGTAAAAAAAACTGGGATTACCGGGAAGAACCAAAAAAACGATGGAAACTAATCACACAAAAAACTGGGATTACCGGGAAGAACCAAGAAACACACGATGGAAACTAATCAAAAAAAGAAAACTGGGATTAGCGAGAAGAACCAAAAAGAACGATGGAAACTAATCACAAACAACAAAAAATGGGATTACCGGGAAGAACCCAAAAAAAACGATGGAAACACATCAAACAACAAAAACTGGGATTACTGGGAAAAAACAAACAAAAATGATGGAAACTAATCAAAAAAAAACTGGGATTACCGGGAAGAACCCAAAAAAGGAAACTAATCACAAAAAAAAAACTGGGATCACCAGGAAGAACCATTAAAAATAAAAATAAAATGGAAACCAAACACAAAAAAAAACTGGGATTACCGGGAAGAACTAAACAAACAATGGAAACATGACAAAAAACTGGGAAAACCCGGAAAAATATAATTAGAAAAGAAGAAAGGCCGTCTCCTTCAACATGATCTTGCCCTCCGGCAAAAGCACCGGGAAGGCATTGGGCATCTCCGCCTGGCCGATGAAAAGGATTCCATGGAAAAGGGAATGTAACGGGAAGGGACGAAGGGAAGACGACTCCAATTTATAGCCTCCATATTGCTAGGGGAGGGCAGGACCCAGACAAGAAGACCTCCAATTCACAACTTCCATCTTGGTTTTTAGACGGCTGGCAAAGATCAGGTGCTCGGATCCATCCAGCCTCGTCGCCATCACCGGGGATGTGGTAAAAGACCAGGACGGGTCTGGCCTCGTTGCTGAAATCGCGGGCGAGCAAGAATTAAAGCAACCACGTGGAGGAAAATCGAAACAAAAGTACAGGTTGGATAGGCCCTGTTTGCTTGATGTTTGAAGGAGCCCCAAAACAAAACACCCGTTTTGGAGTCCCTATTCTTGGAAACGCCGACATGGAACCCAAAAGACATACTGCCCCTGCAACACCGCCTTCTGCATATGTCTGAAAAATTGGGAGAAAAACAAAAAGGTGAAAGGGCCGCCCCCAAAAAAAAAACTCTGCACGCAGCCCAAAAAAATTAAGAAATGGTTCCTCCCTTTCAGCCTGGCGAAGATGCAAGCACGCCTGGGCCCCGGAAGAGCTCATCCGTTGTGAAAAACACCTGGCACGTTCCAAGTGAAGGGAAATGACTGGGACGAAGCCATGTGTTTGCACTACTGTCCTTTTCTCGCATCATGGTCCCTATGGCTGGCCTCTTTCTTTCACCACCAAAGTCAGTTGGTGCTGGGTTAAATGGAAAAACACCCCCATTTTGTGACTGTGATAACCACCAGAAACTGTAAAAACAATGTATGTGTACTTGCAAGCTACGAATCTTGGCTCCACAAGAGCCGAGCCTCGAGGGCTCGGCCGCTGCGAAGCGCAAGCGACGCAACTCGGGGAGCGGATCGCTTTGCTTTCACTCGATTGGTTTTGCGTCTGACGAGAAGAAAGGAGTTCTTTCCTTTTGCCTTTGCAATCCTACGAACCACACGCCTCTGTCGGCCCCTACACAACAGAAAAATGTCTGTCCCATCGGAGTAAGCTTGTTTTCGGAGGGAAGCAATGCGTGAGGCAAGGACTGTTGGAATTCTGATGTCTCAAAGAATTGTTCAAACGCATCCAAGCCTCACCGAAAATCACAAGCAATCATTGAAAGAAAAAACATAATATGTTGTGTGCTGCCTTATCTCGCATTGTCACTATTCCTGAGCCAATGCTTGCACTGTTCTCCACGCATGGCTTGCGTGCTCACGTCAAGCTATCCGGTTGGTCTGGTTGGTGTCCGAGTAGGCACCTTTTCGCGCAAACCCAACATGCTTTACACGAGCAGCTGGTTGGGGTTGCATGGCACCGATACAGGAGCAACACAAATTTTGCAGCCTGTAACTCCGAAGGAGCGGAAAGGCCAACGGTTTCGGTCAATACATCTTTCTGGGGGCATCTAACCCACCGTTGCCCCAAGCAACGCGTGAGGGGATGGATCCGACCGGGCAACGCTCGCTGCACAAAGTACGAATCGCGTCACCAAACACAGTTGGGTGCCTGTAAGTCAAGTGCCAAAATAGGGATGTCCAACAAAAAAACAACTGCCCTGAGGAAGAAAAATAGCCTTGGACACTTGAGGAACATACACCACGCCAATCCTTGTAACTTCTTAGCAAATCTCTGTCTAAGATAACTTTGCCTCCACTTTTGAACTTTGTGGTGTCCTCAACGTGCATCTTCTCGCTCTTGATCTCGCGCTTCACCCAGCTGAAAAATTGCTGCAGATCTTCCGGCCCAGGATTAAGGTTCCAACGGATGCCAAAATGGCCGCCATGCAAAAAAAAAGACGTGTTTCCAAGTTGGGTTCCTCTATCTTGGGCAACCAACAGTAAGCGCCATCCAAAACTCATTTGCAGCATTTTGTTCGATGTCTGGTGCACGCGTAAATCCCGAGCCTTAAGCTTATTGCTCGCACTGCCGTAACAATCATTTGGGCATGGGATCTATGGCTTATGAACAGATGTGTTTCATCTTTTGCACCTTACAGCATGCAAAAAAAGAAAAAATGAGAAGAAAAAAACGCATATACCACAGCCCCAGCTGCGGTAAAGACCAAAAAGGCGTGCAAAAAACCACCGAAAAACCACACAGGAAGAAGCCCGGGGCAGCACCCAAAACAAGGAAGAAGTCAGCTACAAGAAGCGGAAGGCAAGACCAGAAAGGTTTTTTGCATGTGAAACAACATTAAATGTTCGAATCTTTTAGTCAGGTGCGATAAAAGTTTTAAGAGAAGTGCATCACAGTTATCCCACAAGAAAATCATGTGACAGAACGTGGTGGAGAATGATCTGCCCGCACCAGCCAGGTTACTGTCTTATCACTAAGACTACAGCCGGAAGCGAACCCCGCAGTAGGAGGAAAAGAAAAAATGTATTTCGATGAAAGGAGCGGAGCGCTACGCCAGTGAAGTAAAAGACAATTCTCAGCAAACTGCGTTGAATGAAGCTAGAAAGTAATCCTAGAAGTCCGCGCGCAAAGAAAAACCAAGAAGCCTCGAGAGCCTACGAAACCGATATGAGCGCCAGTTGTTGCAATACGGAGCAGACCGCAGTGCCAGTAGTCGAGGAGAAGCAGAAGAAGAAGAAACTGCATTGTGTGTCTGTTGTTGCCACACTGAGCCCAACAATGAGCACATCAGTGGGTTTGGAGGACAATTGGAGGATGTAACGCATTGTCCACTCAAATTTGCGACGCGTTGGACAAAAGCTTTTGCACTACGCATGCGCGAAGTGGCTCATTCTTGAGCATGGAAGTCAGACTTTATTTTCCACGGCAAGTCATTTTGTTGCACAGGGGAACAACAGAAAAACATCGTATTCTTCTGCGTGCGTACTTACCAACAAGCCTTATGCGTTGCAAGTCCGCCTAGAAGGTGTGGAATCATCTTGCCAGGCGCAGCCTTTTGTGCCTTTGTTGGTCCTTTTTAGGCGGCCATTTGCGATTGTGCAGGTCCGCTGTTTAATTTTACAATCTAAAAAAACAAAGTAAAGAGTCAACACCAAACAGAAAAAGGAGAACATGGTTTTATGGCCGCCTGTTTTTTGTTGCTCACGTGTTGGTGGGGCAAAAATGAAGATTTTTGCTCCATGCGGCCATTTAGGTCCGATGCTTCAGCGCAGAAAATTAAATGGAAAACACGTGCAAAGGAAAGGCACCAAACAGCAAAGCAACACAACACAAAACCGACAAACAACCAAAACAAACAGCACAACACTACATTTTGTTATCCATGCGGCCGATGCGATCACGCAGGTCCGCTGTTACAGCGCAGAAACAACTCGTAAACGACATGCTGGGAATATCAAAGAAGAGAACGCAGGCACCACAAAGCAACAGACCACGAAACAGAAACAAACGAAGCAAACAAAAACACAGCACACAATCTATCCTCAGCACAGAAAAAGCAATTGAAACTGAAACCAAAGCTTTGACTTGCTCAGCCAAAAAAAAACAAACAGCACAACAACACAGAACCAACAACAAACCCGAAGATATGAAGTTCCACTGAGCACAACACCCTTCCAAACAAAAACCAGGCGATCAAAGAAAAACAAAGCACAAAAGAACGAGTGAAGGAACCAAATGTGACACTATCGTAAGATGGGAGCAAAATAGAGAAACAAAACAAGAAGTACACGGAAAGGGACCAGATGAGAAATTACCAGTCCTTGCCAGTTTTTACAAAGCGGACGCAGCTTTTGGTGGCAAAGTATCGCACGCCCTCGCTGCTTTGCGCCTTTTGGCGGACAGGGTCGCAGCTGCGGTCAGCGACAATTGGTAGCACCCGTGCCGAAGTTAAAGTCGCAGCACAGGAGTGTGACAGACCAACCTGCCAGGGCAGGGCAAGGACAATCCCGCCTCGCTGACAGAGTTGACTTGCAACGCTCTGTCGTCTGCTGCTTCAGCCCTACGGATGTGCGGGACCCCTGTGAAAGTTGGGCGCCCTTTTGGGTTTACGGTGCGCGCGGGCATCGCCTGGAAAAGGGGGCTTTAGCAAAAGATCCAGAATTCTGACAATGGGGGCGCCGGCTTGGTTGGGTTTGAACAAATACAAAAAGCTAACCAAACATTTCGAGAAGATTCGCATTCCCAAACACATTCACACGGTCACGGCCACGACTCAACTTGGGAAACATCAGGCCGCTCAGGCGTTCAAAGCATGTCTTTCGACTCGCGATCCAACCCGGCCCTGGACGTTGAATGGCCTGGTTTGGTGCAAAAAACAATTGTTTTCCCAGCTTTCCCTGGCTTGGCAGAACCTGACTGCTTGGGCCAAGCCGCCGGCGCAATGGCTGCAGTCGAGGCCGAAGGCTTTCTTGCCGAAGGGGCAGAAAGTGCTATGGGCGGTCTCTGCCAGGCCCAGTGCCAGCAAAGCGGCGGCGATGTGACGGGAGCATCCATGGAGAGAGTCGCACGCCAGGGAAGCGGAAGCCCCAGCTCCAGCCCACCACCTGGGCAAGACGAACAGCTGGCTGAAAGGCACTGTAAACCCATGGCCTTCACAACCTCGGTTCTGGGACAAGAACTGCCTGATATCCGCCGACAACAGGCGGCGTGTTGGACGTAAGAAATGCTCCTTACCTCTTTACCTGTTACCCCTCCCCTAACCCCTCCCCAGGGGCAGCATTTCACACTATTGCGGGGGGGGGGGGTCCACGTACCACGCGGTGATTCGAAGACGCTTCACTAAATCTGTTCATTGGCAACTCAGTTTCATTGGGGTGTTCGATTCCCCCCGGGTGCGCTTTCGCATCCTTAGCAGCTCCAGCGGCACATCGCCAGCATCACCTGCATCATCCGCATCAGCGCCTGCCAAGGATGCGGATGATGCAAGTGATGCTGGGGATGTTGCCTATGCTGGTGAACCCCCCCCCCAGTTCCTTGTTGAGATCATTTATTTCCCCCCTTTTCCTTCTAAGGCCTTTTCCCACCCTCAGTTCTTCTCCCTTTTCCTCCCAAAGATCTTTCCCCCCCTTTCCTCCCTAAGTCCTTTTCCCTGAGTTCGTCTCCCTTTGCCTCCCTAAGATCTCTTCCCCCCTTTCCCGCTTAAGATCCTTGCCCCCGTTTCCCCCCTAAGGCCTTTTCCCCCCAAGATCTCCACCCTTCTCTTCCCAAAGTTTTTTTCCTCTCTTTCCCGATTGAGATCCTGTCCCCCGATTGCCCCTTAGGGCCTGTTCCCCCCGAGAAAGATTTCCCTTTTCCTCCCAAAGATCTTTTCCCCCCTTTCCCCCTTAAAGCATTTTCTCCCCAGATCTTCTCCCTTTCCTCCCTGAGATCTTTCCCCCCCTTTCGCTGTTGAGATCCTTTCCCCCTTTCCCCCCTTCATTTCCAGATCTTAGGGAGGAAAGGCAGAAAAATCTGGTGCAAAAAGGGTTTAGGGGGGAAAGGGGAGAAATGATCTCAACAGGGCAAGGGGTGGAAAAGATCTTCGGGAGGAAAGGGAGAAGATCTGGGGAAAAAAGGCCAACAGGGAAAGGGGGGAAAAGATCTTAGCAAGGAAAAGCGAGAAGCCCTCAGGGGCGGAAAGGCCTTGGGAGGGAAAGGGGGGAAAGGATCTC